AAGCCAGGGCTCCTAATCTCTGAGTCATCTTTCCAGATCCAACATCTCCAGCCTGAACAAGCTTCTGTCTAACACTGACTGTTTTATCTTAGAGGAGACCACTACACAATGCTTGGGCTCACTTACACCTGAAGGACTCTAGCAGGCTCAAGCAAGGCAAACATGGCTCTCGGGCTTTGCCCTTCCCCCATTTCCTCTGCCTTGTAAAAACCATTAGATTACATTCTCAAAGCTATTCACCACGGTCTATTCCCTTATTTGGCCACATCCTCCCCCTACCAACGTTCAGCTACCAAAGTATTGAAGTCCAGCAATCAAAAGCCCCCTTTCGGCTCACCTAATTAACATGCCCAACTAAAATGAACCAACTCATCCTAACACAGGGCTTCCCCTTCTACCTTTATAAACTTCCATTTGCCTACCGGCCACACCTGTCTCCCCTCCATCCAGAGGCAGTCCTTAGTCCCTTTGGGGGCAAATATTCCCCATCTCTTGTTCCTTTCCCCTTCTCCCTCATTCTCCATCTCCCATGTTGGTCTCTTATTCCCTGCCCCCTGTCCGTCTGGGACAAGTAAATCTCCTTTGTGCTGGGCTTGGGCATCTGTGCTGATAGCGATATCAGTCCTCTTTTCAGTCAGTCATCTCTTCCCTTAGGAGCTGACAGTCTCTGATGGACTCAGCTGGGACGACTCTTTGTTTGCAATAGTTATTTATTATTGTGGGAGGGGTGCACATACCAGAGAGAGGGGGGAGAGAAGGTCAAAGGAAACTGTAGTTTGGGTCAGTTTTCTCCTTTCATCTTTACGTGGGTTAAAGAGAGTGAAGCTAGTAGGTCCTAGGGTTTGTGCAGCCTTACCACCGTGCCATCACACCAGCCCAGGGATGGTTCTTTTCACTTCACGTAGCTTCTTACCCTTCATCAGCCTGAACCACACACTTTTCATAGCAGAAAGCAAAATGTCCATGAGACCTTGACTCTAAACTGGCAAAATGTCATTTCTGCCACATTGTACTGGGCCGATGCAAGTAAGGAGGCTAGCCCAGACACACTAAGGACAGAAACTCTCCACCCTCTCAAGGGGTGATGCCAGGCCACATTGTCTGGTGCGATAAAGCATGGGGTGGAAAAGTACGGAAATCTCTAAGGACCGCCTACAGCACCCACATCCCTCCTCCCCCACAGACTCAGCGGCAAACCTTGAGTCTTTGGGTTTTCTTTGCTTCCTTTCTTTCCTTTTTTTTTTTTTTTTTTTAAAAAAAAAAAAAAAAAAACAGGTTCTCTCTGTAGGTCTGTTGTTTTAGAACTTGTGTATAGACCAGGCTGGCCTTGAACTCAGAAATCCACTTGCCTCTGCCTCCCAAGAATTAGGATTAAAGGTGTGAATTACCCCATTGACATTTGGGTTTTCTTGTCTGTGAAAACAAAAAAAAAAAAAAAGTCCACACTAACTAGTGTCTTGGCCCTCTCACCTCCTCCCTCCCCTAAGGTCCCTCTAGCTGAGGGCTTCCCTCCCCGGCTACTCTTTCTTATAACCCTGCTATCCTCACTATGTTCTCTCTGTATGGCTCCTGCTTGGCTCACTAAGTTTCCTCTAGTCTCTGTCCCCTGCTATTCTTTCTCTCACAGAGAGCCCTACCATGTCCAGTCTACTTCTTTCTCTCTCTGATCTGGACTCTTCTAGATGTTTCTGGTTGTTCTCTAGCTCATCTGCAATAACAACGTTCTCCTTAACCATGGAGTGGTCATATCATCAGTTTGTACAATGTGGTGATTGATGTATGCCTGTTACCCCACACTGGGAGGTGGAAGATGGGGTTTGAGGCCACCCTGGGGTGCTGACCAGGGACAGGTACTGTGACTGTGTTCCCCATTGCCCTTGGAGGTCTTTGCACAGACTCTTTATTTTTAATTATGCCTGACTGTGAGGGTTTTGTCTCTTTATCTTTGCTAACTTGCTGTTTGTGAACCCAGGAAACTGCCCTTCTGTGCTTACCTCTGTGTGTGTCAGCTCTGGGTGAGCCTCTCTGAGGCTCAAGTTTGCTCTGCCTCCCAGCGCTTTGTTCTTATCACGTAGACGTCCAAGACCACAGGAAATGGAGGATTGCAAAGGCTTTTAATGTCATTTTCAGTCCAGCAAGGGTTGATTCCCAAGCAATGCCCAAATGCCATCCCTCTCCAGCCACAGGTGAAATCTTTGCTGCTCCAAATGCTCATGGCTCAAGCTGACAAGGCCAGGCTGAAACTGCTTTGACCTTGCCACCATAAATCGGGTGGCCGTTCCTGAGAGAGAGGAGTTCTGGCCCCCTTTTCACCTGTTTTCCCTCAGGACAGAACCCATAGGTGTGTACTATCATCCAGTTCTAGCTCTAGCCTCATCTGGAGCACTCACTGGAAGAAAGAACTCGCTTTCCTGGGAACAGGACCCTTGGAGAGAGAAATCCCTGCATGGAGCTAGGAGTATAGCTCAGTGGGAGGACTCCTGGCAAGCATAAAACAGCCCTTGTTCTGTATTCAGTACTGAAGGAGAAAAGGTTGGCACATGGTGAAATTTCAGAGTTCCCAGCCCCAAGGATTCCCTTTTTGTCTCAAATGATAACACTCTACAAATAGAAACTGTCACCAGGTTTGTTTCACTCTGCTCTCTGTCCGGTTTCTTACACTCTCTACTACATTAATTTGAAAGAGACATGCAGCGCACAGTATAGATCGATGATCACAGTAAAGAGAATTTAACAAACCAAAGCACTCTCAAGGCAGAGTGGGCAATGAACGGAGGGACCACTGCTTAGACTGACATTACAAGATGGACTTTTTTTTTTAAAAAATATTTATTTATTATGTATACAATATTCTGTCTGCGTGTATGCCTGCAGGCCAGAAGAGGGCACCAGATCTCATTACAGATGGTTGTAAGCCACCATGTGGTTGCTGGGAATTGAACTCAGGACCTTTGGAAGAGCAGGCAATGCTCTTAACCACTGAGCCATCTCTCCAGCCCCCTACAAGATGGACTTTATATTAGTTCTTAAAGTGTTTAGGGCACAAGGAGAGAGGCCCATCCTCTATGTCCACCAAGCCCATGGATATTTATCTAGCTACATAAAAGAAACAACATGGTGTATATATTCGAGTGTTCATTATCACTTTGAGATCAGGTCTTGCTATGCAACCATACTACTCAGCAACCTACCCCCAAAGCCCGTACTCACACAGTTTTCTGAGGGACTACAGGTTGATTTTAAGGCCTGACCACAGCCCTCAAAAAACAACTTTTAAATTAAGATAGTATGTGTGTGCGATGTGTGCATGTGGGTGCCAGGAAGTACTCTGAAGATCAGAGGACAATCTTGGGTGTCCGTCCTTGCCTTCTACCTTGTTGTTTGCCACTGTGTACACCATGAGAGCTAGCCCACAGCTTTGTCCTGTCTCTGCCTCCTTTTTGACTATAGAAGCACTGGAATTACAGATGTGGGCCACTGAGCCTGGCTTTACATGGTTCTGGGACTCAAGCTAGTCATGTTTGCACTTTAGTGTTTGGACCCAGTGAACCCTCTCCCCAGCCCTGAACTTTAAAAGAAGAAAGTGACACCTGAGAGTTGTTGGGAGGCAGTGGCCCCACGTAGAGACCAGGAATGATTAAAACCTCCTTGGAAGAACAGTTGGGAACTCTGGAGAATCAAAGTGCTGGAATTTGCCTCTCAGATCACTTAGGATCTTGGCCATAAGTGAGATACTGGTATATGGCAGACTTTTCAGAGGTAGTTAAAGTAATCCAGTTATCTGAATTCAGAGCTCATTGCTGCTGGATACTTTTGATGCCAGTGAACAGAGGCAAGAACTGAATCTTGGGGCTGGAAAGATGCCTCAGCAGTAAAGAGCACATTCTGCTCGTTCAGAGGACCTGGGTTTGGTTCCCAGTGACCACATGGCAGCTCCCAACCATCTGTAACTCTAGTTCCAGGGGTTCAGGTGCCCTCTTCTGACCCCTGGGGAACTGCACACATAGACATGGTACACACACACACACAAATTATGCATAAAATAAACTTAAAAAAGAAAAGAGTGAATCGTTAAACTGCATTCTATTCTGAGAGGCTCAGTCTGAGAAGACAGAGGATTATCATTCTCCAAGTCTGTCTTCCCCTTTAGCAGGCTGATTATATAGGAAGGGAAACAAAAACAATCACTCCAAGTCCAGTCTGGTCTCACTCAAGTGGTTGGGCTTGGATCTGAGTTCTGCTTTTCCTTCTCCCTGTGTGTGGAATACAGGAGGTGTTCACTTACACCAAGGTTACAAAGTCTTGCATTCATCCTGAGACACCAATACTTCAGGTTAGCTCAGAACAAACCAGTAGATGGGTATGTGAACACTTTCCACCCATGACATTCAAATACGCGCTTAGAATTTAGAGTGTGGATATAAAGCACCCCTAGCTGTCATCTACAGCAGAGCTTCCTGTGAGGTCATGACTGGCTCCTGTCTGCTCCTCAGCTTACTGTACGGCCACCTCTCTTCTCTCCCTGTCTATGTCCCCAGCACTGAATTGCCACCCACCATGAGGTTGTCACCAGAGCCAAGCTGAGGCCAGTACCATACTTTAACTTCAAAACTGGGATTAAATAAACCTCTTTTCTTTATAAATGTACCCAGCCTAAGGTATTTCATTATAGTGTTTGAAAACTGAAAAATACAAGGATTCTATAACCATCAATTGTGAGATTTTGTTGTTCTGTTGTTCTGTATATCTCTGTCTTCCTAAATGTTCATTAGTAGTCAGCTATAACCAAAATGCACATGCTTGTTTTTGTGAGTGAGCATCAGTGGAAACAGCACGTGTTACATGCTTAGAGAGAAAAGTGGAAAGAAGAGTAACATGTTCTGAGAGCCAAGTGAAACCGATAACACGATAGAACTAGAATCAGAAATAAGAGAAACCATGTTTTGTAGACTCAAATGTTCCAAGAGAGCCTATTTCTTTTCTTCTCTCTTCCTTCCTTCCTTCCTTCCTTCCTTCCTTCCTTCCTTCCTTCCTTCCTTCCTTCCTTTTTTTTTTTTTTTTTTTTTTTCCCGAGACAGGGTTTCTCTGTAGTTTTGAAGCCTGTCCTAAAACTAGTTCTTGTAGACCAGGCTGAACTTGAACTCACAGAGATCTGCCTGCCTCTGCCTCCCGAGTGCAGGGATTAAAGGCATATGCCACCACCACCCAGCTGCTGGAGTGGTAGTGGATACTGGCACCCCACTGCAAAGAGAGGAGGGAGCTGAAGAAGCTGCATTTGAATACCATGAGAGCCAACCACCTTGGATGGATGATTTGGACTGCCAATATGGCAGAGACCTGGATACAGTTGAACCTTATTTTGTAGCCTGCAGGTTCCCTCCTTAGTTAAACTAAACTGCTTCCTTGCAGAACTGCTCTATGGTTCCTTCCTCATTGTACGCAAATGATCCATCTTCCAAAAGTAACTTTCCTTTTTTTGAGTTTTCTGCTATCTGCCACAATTAGGGTAAGGGAAGATTAACAACAGGAGATTCACCTGCTGTGCAGCTGGACTATCTGAATGGAACAATGAAACACAATAGCTACTTAACAACCCAAGTTGGGAAAACATTTCTGAAATAAAAAAGGGCTTCGTTTTACTTTGGAAAAAATACATCACGTACTGGAGAGATGGCTCAGCTGATACAAGTGCCTGCCAGGAAGCTTGACGGCCTGAGCTGGATCCATAGTACAAGGACAGTCTCACAGCGCAAGGACAGTCCCACAGCAGAAGGACAGTCCCACAGCGGAAGGACAGTCCCATAGTGCAAGGACAGTCCCACAGCGCAAGGACAGTCCCACAGTGCAAGGACAGAACTGCCCTCCAGTCTCTGCTTCTCAGAGACTGACCAACCACCACACAATCAACTACCCGTGACACATACTACAGCAAAAAGCAAGTACCATCATCCAAAGAAAGCACAAAGAAGCAATTGAGGAGGAGGAACCGAGGTCTTAAAAGGAAGCCTCGTAGGATGCTTGAACAAGTAGTAGGGCAAGGAGGTCAGGGATCACTCAGGCGGATGCTCATGCACAGGAGGGCACTGCATCCATCAGGTGCACAAAAAGAGAGAACAAAGTTAGACAGCCAATATCTTTAATTCAAAGTAAGGTATCACCTGGCCCAGACACCTGGCACTTGCTGGCCAGCAGACAAGAAAAGCTGCTGTGCACTTGGCTTGCCTGGCAGATATAGGCTCAGCACATATGGAGCCTCAGAATCCCCCTGCTCTGAACTGTGGTGGGGCCGGATGCAGAACAGGTCTTGTTGCAAATATCCTTGATGATGTGCAAAGGCAGGGGCCAGGATTTGCCAGGGTACCATCCCAGCTCCCCCACCTTGAAGGGAGTCTCAGAGACTCCTTTTGTGCTGGGGTTATAGAGAAAGTGAACTAAAGTCTTGGCAGGCATTACATGGCTCCAGCACAGGCAGCTGGGAGGGCTGGAAGTCAAGGGCTAGCATGGTGAACACCGCAGAGTGTCACATGCAGCGACAGGTTCAGGATGTTCTGCAATTCCACTGAACTGGGAAGAGGCACAGCTAGCTTCCTCTGCCTTCTCTCCAGGCCCCCTCCTGCCAGCTTGTCTAATCATTTGTCCTGAGTGCAGTCACATATCAGACTAGGGAACAGCCTGGGCAAGAGGGAGATGCCAAACTTCTCCTTGAAGTATGTAATCTTTACCCTCCCTCTCTGTCCTTTCAAGAAGCCTCATTCTGGTGGGTGGTCAGCGGGGCCAAGCAGCACTGAATTCCTTCTCCAGGTCCTGGACAAACTGGTCATTGAGGAAAAGCAGCTGCCCATGTGGCAGGAAGCGGGCGAGGATTCCCTCAATGCGGTCAGCCCTCAACAAGAAGTTGTTACCTGGTGTCAGCAGCCGCAGGTGGTCAAGAAGGAGGCGGACCAGCAGCCGGAGTGTGCTCTCAGCCAGCAGCAAGTTCTCATGGGTATCCAGCACCAGGGCAAAGCCTAGTGAGAGCACACCCAGCCACACCACCGTCTGTGGCTCCTGGAAAGGGTCCCCGGCTCCCAGGTAGAAGGCTCCATGGGGGGCCTCATGCAGAGACACAGGCTCATCGGAGAACTGAGGCTGCGGGTCTGTGGAGGGACATCCAGATGCATGCTGCTGCAGCCGGCACAGTGACTCCACCTGCCTGGAAGAGGAGAGAGGAGTCAGGTCACCAAGGTGCCATCCCAGTCCCCCTCCCCCACGGACACTTCTGTCAACTTCCAATGTATCTGGGAGCTGGAATGTCTCATATCTTGGGTAAAGAAACTTAGGCTTAGAAAGCTTAAGTGATCCAGGGATGCGGAGCCAGGGAAATGTGACGAGACAGAAATCCAGGCTCCAGCCTGAATCACTTAACTCTGAACGGCCAAGAGAAGGCAGGATCTGAACACAGCTCCTTGGGCTGGGAAAAGGACTAGGGGTGAAGTCTTGTCTCACTCGCCTCACAGAAGCCTCTTCAACAGAGGCAAGTAAGTGATGGGAATAACAAAGTCGTCCAGCGTGGCTGGCTGACCTCTCAACCATTCACCCTTCTCCGAGTCCTACGCACCTCCTACGTGACTGTCAAGGCTGCCCCCACCGCTTCCTGAATCATCTTCTAGATCAGGCCCTTCACAGACTGGCTTTAAAGCCTTGCGTTTACCGGGTATGGTGGTGCATGCCTATAATTCTAGCATTGGGAGGAGGAGGCAGGGGGATCGGTTCATTCCAGCCTGGAATACACAGAGAAGTGGAGGGCAGCCTGAACCTGAAAATTAGGCTCTGTCTCAAAACAAATAACTCCAACAGGTCATTGCTTAGTTCTGTCTGTGCTGCAAGAGGTGAATCAGGTAGAGAATAAGGGGTTGGCAAAGAGCTGCCCAACTCACGTGTGTCTGGGAAGAAAGGTCCCAGTCTATCCACCTCCCTCATTCGATGCTTTCCAAAACGGCTCTGTGTCTCCGGCATTCAGCAGCCCTGAGCCTCTGCTAATCATCACGTTCTCGCTCTTAGGAAGACCTCCACTAGAAAGCATGTTTCGTGTGCACGAGTCCGCCTGCTTATACTCTAATCTCCATTTCTAGCCATGGTTTCGTTGCACAACCTCGGGCAGGTTAAGTTCCTTAGCCTCTGTATGTCAGCTAACTCTTCTGGAAAGTGAAGATAATGATACAGCCACCTCAGAGGACTATGAGGATTACGTAATAGACATGAAATTCCCAGAACCACCATAATGATAATCGCATTCTTTTTTTAGCTCTTTTTCATAGGAGTACATATACACAGTGGTGGGGACCAGGGGAAACATCATGACTCCTCGTCTTCCTTCACTGTCCAACTCCAGCATCCCTCATAATCAGCTCTGTGTCTGATGAAGCTTGGGGCGGGGCTGTGACATTACCTGGCCACGGCCAAAATCTGTTCCTTGCGCAAGAGCCTGTCCCTTTCTGCACCACATGGCCGTGGATCATCGGGTGACTTCTCAGCACCAAAGACACAGGAGTAGAGCACTCGGCAAAGGCCTGTTTCTTCCGAATTCGGGGCCCTCAAGGTGTGGATGAGGAAGGCATGGACCATGGCTCCAGGGTGGATGCTGCAGAGAAGCCAGAGACCTACGAGGGGAAAGTGAAACCCCTGCTAAGGAGGTCCTCTCGAGGAGGGTGTGGCCTGGGAGTGTGCCCAGAGAGTGTTGTGGTTGGACAATGATCACCTATCTACTTAGATATGCCTAGCCTCTGAATAATGTAATGCCTGGTCTGCATTGAGAACAAGGGTGGAGATGTCTCCTACAACACTAAACCCACTTCTGCAAAACTATCCGGAAATCTCCAAAAGCATCAAGGTCATGAGAGTACAGGAAAAACTGATGACCAGAGGCCACAGCTGAGTGCTCCTGGGACAAAACCAACCAGACTCCACAGTGTGCGCCATTAAGACAACTTAAGTGTGGAGTATGAGATGGGAGGGAGAGTTTGTTTTGTTTTGGTTTTTCGAGACAGGGTTTCTCTGCGTAGCTTTGTAGCCTGCCCTGGAACTCGCTCTGTAGACCGGGCTGCCTGACATGGCAGTCTTGATCGATGCCACTTGGTTTTGAATGGAGGAACGTGTCTTTGTAGAAACTGCACATGAAAATACCTCTAAATGCCGTATCTGCAACTGACTCTGATCAACGGGAAGAAAAAGGACAGAGCGAGTGTGGCAAACCTTTATCCAAAGGGCTTTATCTAGTTAACCAAAACTATTTCAAAAATAAGACATGTGACACATACCTGAAATCCCACTCGGGAGCTGGAAACAAGAGGATCAGGAATTCAAGTCAGCCACAGATATATGGGGAGTCCCTGGCTGCTCTGGACAACGTGAGACAGTGGCGACCCCGGGGTCGCAAGGCTGAGGGGGACACAGTAGTTAGTCCCGGTCAAGACTAAACAGATCAAGAACTGAAAGTTATCCGACAGGTAGGTTCGCAAACCCGCTTCAGGAAGGGAAGTCAGGTTTATAGGCCTTGACCTCTGGTCATCTTTCTGCCGCCAGCAGCGTACGTCATCAACCCCGGCCACCGTGCTCCCTCTTTCCCTGACGGCCTCATTGCGTCACTGCCTCGCGCGGGCAGCGGCGCGCTGGACTCTGGGGTTTGTAGTGCGGACTCAATCCTGGGTCTGTGGTCCGGTCGTGGGGCCCTAATTCCTGAGGGCGCGCAGGCTTCTGACTAGCCGATCCCCTCGACTGCGAGAGCGCCCTGGAGGGTTCAGGGGACGGGCGAGCTTCTCTGGAGGCGCTGGAAAGCCCCTGACTAGCTGCGGCCTGGCCACCGCTAGAGTGGCCGCCAGGGAGCGCTGTGGCTGCTGCGACAGAGCCAAACTTTCCAGGGAGGCCTGCGCACCGCTACCTCTAAGCTACTTGTGTGCGACCGAATTGCAGGAGCAGAGCCCTGCCAGTTGAAACGCACACCAGAAGGTGATGACTTTGGAAAGATACGAATATGCGAGCAGTTGTGAAGATTCTATATTGTTGGTTCCTTCAGTGAGTTAAGGCTGATCCTGGATTTCACATAGGATTCCAATTCTAGTCCCAACTTCGACGTAGTTGTGTAGCCCTGGCAGGTCTGCCAACTTTGTTAGGCCCCAGTGAAACCCCATCTAGAGACAGCTGGGGCAAGTGTTTAAGGCTATCTTTCCCTTTTGCAGCCGCTGCCGGACTCCTCACAGGGAGGACATCAAGGACCTTCTAACTTAAGAGATCTAAAACTAAGGTTTGAACCAAGTGGTGCCACCAGCTTTAGGGTGAAGATCCGGTCTGGAAACATGGCCCAAGCAGTGTTTGGGGCAAAGGTGCATACACATTCGTTTACCGCTTGCACAGCATGTGAATTCTTAGGCTTCCTTAAGTATGTCCCAGTCTTACGTGCCTCGTGCCTCGATTATTGACATCCCCTCCAGGGCCGTCCCCTCAGATTATTCCCTAAGTGACTCTGACCAAAACTTTTGTCTCATGTGGGGCCCATCTCTGCCATGGTTCCCGTCTTCGCTCCCCAAGGCCAGGGTTATACTTACTCGAATACTGTCTGTTGGCAAAGAAAAGAGCAGAGTGGCCCAGGCAGGGCTTCTGAAGAAAGACCTCCATGAAGGACTTTGGCAGGCGGTTGGCAGGGGGAGTAGATGGTGCACAGGCTGTGGGGGGTTTGATGTCAGGTGCAGGTGAAAGGACGGGCCCAGAGGCAGTGTGGGGCCTCAATCAGAGAGTCAGGGGATGATGTTGGCTCCTGATGCCCCGTCCCTATCACGCTGGGCCAGGCCTCATGTCTGCCAGCAGATTGTAACTAAGAACTGGCAGAGGGCACTGGGAACATGATATCCTGGCCTCAGTTCACCACTCAGGCAATCCATGTCAAGTTCAAAACCACTGGAGAGTTGACCTTGTGTGGGGCGTGTGAAGAAAAGTGCGCTGAGCCGTCACCCTGGAAGATGACGGCCCTGAAGAATGTGGTATCACAGAAGGCTTCCCTGGCGGGAGCTGGGGGCAGGCAGCAGTGGAGGTCTCACCCAATGGTTTTGCTTGGGGCTGTTGTGGGAGTGCCCTGGGAGAGCTTTTCCTTGTAGCCACTGGCCTCTTCTGATTTTAAGCTATGCTTCAGAGAGTCTGTGGGGCCCCCTGGAAACACTCAGTCATACCGACTCAGATATGATCAAAAGCAGCCAGTTCAGTAGTGTCCCCTTCATGGTTAGCCATGCACTTTAAAAATGTTGGAAATCCACGAAAATAATCATTTACTTTTAATTCTTTTGTTGTTGTTTCTCTCTCTGTGTGTGAATAGCCCTGGATGGCCTCAGACTCAGAGATCACATGCCTCTGCCTCCCAAGTGCTAGGATTAAAGGCATGCACCACCACTGCCCAGTTTGGATTCTGATTTTAAAACAAAACTAAGCCGGGTGGTAGTGGTGCACGCCTTTAATCCCAGCACTTGGGAGGCAGAGGCAGGTGGATCTCTGAGTTCGAGGCCATCCTGGTCTGCAGAGGGAGTCCAGTACAGGCTCCAAAGCTAAGAGAAACCCTGTCTCAGATAAAAACAAAAAACAAACTAAAAGCCAGAAAGTGCATACCTTCAATCTCAGCACTGGAGAGGTAGAAGCAACCAGGTAAGGATACACAATGAGACCTTTCTCAAAAGTAAATAAATAAACTAAGAATGTAATGGAATCCGTTCCCTGTACTGGAAATATACAGGCTTGAGCCAAGCATGGTTCAGGTTTATAATATAAAAAGAAACCTGGGCGTCATCTCCTCTGGCAGATGACTAAGCCACACATCACGGAACAGGATGGAAAGAATTTGGAATGTGAGTTCTGCTTCCCACAGCAGCCAGCATGGAGGAGAGAGAGGAAGGGGGAGGGACTCGAATAAGATGAAGGATGGGTTTGACCTGAAAGAGGACAGAGAGCCTAACATGGTGCCCTCACAAGAACGCTTTCCCTGGGGAGACACAAACAAACCTGCGCTGCTTCTGTACAGAGAAAGAGTCCCCCAGAGCCCGACTTGGGGTAAAAATGAGTTCCTCCAGCCTCTTTATTAGGTACAGCACAGGGGAGAGACTGGCTAGTCTCGGTAGGCAGTCTCTAGAGGTGGACAGTCTAGGCCGTACCATCCAGCAGGACACCAGAGTTGCTAGTCTTTGCACACGTGGATCAGTTGTTCATAAACATTTACACATTGACTCATCAGGAAAGATTTGCCATTCCTCTTGAGCCTGCACCATATGGGCTTTGCAAATTTTGCAGTGAGTCAATTGGAGTCCTTGACAGGCTATGCCTTTGTCAAAATACACATTCCTTCAGGACTCACTCAGGGCTTCCTTCACTCCCTATGTGAGTGCCAACAAACCTGATCTTGGGAGACTCTTGCAAAGACTCATAGCTGGTTTTTGTTTTTTTTTTTTTTTTTTGGTTTTTCGAGACAGGGTTTCTCTGTAGCTTTGGAACCTATCCTATCCTGGAACTAGCCTCTTGCAGACCAGGCTGGCCTCGAACTCACAGAGATCTGCCTGCCTCTGCCTCCTAAATGCTGGGATTAAGGGCATGCATCACCACCACCTGGCACTCGTAGCTGTTCTGATGAAGATGATGGTTGTTATACTTGGAGGAGAGCATTCTACAACAGGTTCGAATGCCTGTAATTACAGCACTTGGGAGATAAAGGCAAGAGGATAATGAGTTGACTAGCCTCAAGCCGGGCGGTGGTGGCGCACACCTTTAATCCCAGCACTGCAGAGGCAGGCGGATTTCTGGGAGTTCGAGGCCAGCCTGGTCTACAAGAGCTAGTGCCAGGACAGGCTCCAAAGCTACAGAGAAACCCTGTCTTGAAAAACAAAACAAAACAAAAAAAAGACTAGCCTCAACTACACAATGAATTTGAGGCCAACTTGAGCTACTCAAGATATTGTCTAAAACTAGGGGTCAGGAGGAGAAGGAAAGCATGTTATATATCCATTCTTGAGCTGAGGACAGTCCTCTGGATATTTCTAGCAGATTCTATGCAGACAAGTGCAGTAGCCACAGCAGGCAGGAGTTAAAGAGGAGCAATAAGCCTGGCAGGGTGGTGGTGGTACACACCTTTAATCCCAGCACTCGGGCTGCAGAGGTAGGAGGATTTCTGTGAGTTCCAGGCCAGCCTGTTCTACAAAGTGAGTTCCAGGACAGCCAGAGCTGTTACACAGAGAATTCCTGTCTCAAAAAATAAACAAACACACACACACACACACACACACACACACACACACACACACACACAACAAAAGCAAAAGCAAGGAAGAGGAGCAATAGATTAACAAATGGAAAGAGTCCAAGCATTGACTCCGCAGGAGCAATCTGTGTGGCCTGCTTGGAGGAGGCGGTATCTGGGGACTAAGTTGTAGCAAATGCAAATGATGGGAAGAAACCAGTCTTCCTAGATTCAGACTCCTAACCTTTCTGTGTTATCCCAAGGACCAGAGTCCCATAAACAATTTCTCCCACGTACTGGGGCATTGAAGGCACCACCTGAGTTAGGGTTTAAAGAAACTGATTTTGCATGAATGTAATGCACAGACATGCATGTAAGCACAACACTCAGACACATGAAGATAATAGCTTTCGGGCTGGAGAGATGGCTCAGTGGTTAAGAGCATTGCCTGCTCTTCCAAAGGACCCGAGTTCGATTCCCAGCAACCACATGGTGGCTCACAACCATCTGTAAAGAGGTCTGGCGCCCTCTTCTGGCCTTCAGGCACACACACAGACAGAAAATTGTATACATAATAAATAAATAAAATATTTAAAAAAAAAGATAATAGCTTTCAAGCTGTAGCCTTGTTCAGGTCGTGGGACTTACAGTGTCATTATCTGACCTTTTGCAGCCCTCAGCCATCTGTGGCACTTGAGGCTGAAAGACCTAGCTGCAGATAATAGTGGAAAGCATCTGGGGCCTGGAAGTGATGACCATATACACATGCGTGATAAAGCCACTTCATGGGTACATGGAGCTGGAGATACCCCTAGCTGATACAGCTTGGGAAGTGGGCAGAGGGAGCCTAGCACCTAGTAGGGACTCAGTGGGTCAGAGGCAGATGGGGAAGACATTTATTAACCCTGGGAAGACAGGTCCTGATGGCAACTCAGAGACCGGGCGGGACAGGTCAGACACACTGGGTTATGGGGCCTCTCCCAAGCACGGAGCAATGAGTTGCATATTGGTTGTGTGAGGCTTGGTATTAGCCCAGCACTTGAGGCAGGGGTGGGTACACAATAGATTTAGGTGTGGGATTCCATGTACATGTAACAGGCAAAGGAGGTAAGAAGGAACAGAAAAAATAAGTTACTACGACAAAAACAGAGGAGCTTGAAGGGGACAGATCCATGACCCAATGTTGGGCCCTAAAGCCCCACCAAGGAGGAGGTCGCCCCAAGAGACACTCACAGCACGGTTGATGCAATAGCAAGAGGAATTTTTATTCTGCCACGGCAGAGGACCCTCAGCCTCGAGAGGAGAAGGACCCTGCTTTGTCTATTACAAGCTCTTT